GGCTCTGCTGGCTCCAGTCCTAGAGACGCTTTAAACAGGGAAGTGGCGGCCGTGTCACTGGCGACTTCCCGGCACCAAGTAGGTCAGGGTGTTGTCACAGTTCCGACAGGACCGCAGGTGAGTCACCGTGCGTTTGGGGAGTCACAGGTCCGTGCGCAGTTGCAATCTGGTTACGTAGCCTCCTCAACCCAGGTCTGCCGGGGTCCTCCGGCCCTCTCCTTCCCCCGTCCCCCCTCCCCACCCCCGTGACAGAACCACGGCTAAAACAGCCATCAGAGGGCTGGCTGGCTGCCCACAAGGGGCGGCCCTCCCTGCTGGCCGGGAAGACTCTGTCCCCTTCGCGCTTCACTGGTAGGAAAAGCCACGTCCTGGGGGTGGACAATGGTTAGCACATCGACCTGTGGACCGAAGGGTCACAGGTTCCATCCCTGGTCCAGTCGGGGCACATGCGGGAGGCAATCCGTTGATGTGTCTCTCATATGGATGTTTTTCTCTCTCTCTTCCCCTCCTTTCCTCCCTTAAACCGTCTCAAAAAAAAAAAGTCAGTGGGAAGAATATATATATATTCTTAGTGAGGATATTCTCGGGTGAGGATTAACCAAAAAATAAGCCATTTTGAAAATGTGAACTGCAGATCAATATCGGATCATGTTTTAATACAAACTTATCCCAAATATCTGCATGGGACATACGTATAGAAAACACGTGTTGTTTATCTGCAATTCAGGTTTCACCAGAAAATCCTGTATCTTATATCGGACAACCCTCGCTTTTTAAAAGATGTTTTTTTCTCTACTCCGAACCCGGCTCATTCTCATTCAAGCAAAACGCAAAAGTTATAGAAAATGTCAAATTCTGTGCCAGCTGTTTTATTTAGTCTAAGCGAGGAATGGCCTTTTCCTGGCAGGTGAACATGATGGCAGACCTTGTGTAATTACTATTTTCTCCCTTGTGGGCGCCTGTGGTGGGGTGCTCAGCCCTGGGCAGGGTAATGCCCCTCCCAGGACTGGCCTGTGCCCTGAACCCCCGATGCCCACACTTCTATTTGCAGGCATCTCACTCCCTTTGTCTTGCCACAGGGCCTAATTATGCAGAGAGGTTCTTGCTCGCCCGCATTCACACCTCAGTCCTATCTGTGACGGCCCTTTTATTTTATTTTTATTTTTTGTAATGTTTTTATTGATGTCAGATAGGAAGGGAGAGGGAGAGAGGGATAGAAACATCAGTGATGAGAGAGAACCATCGATTGGTTACCTCCTGAACGCCCCCTCCTGGGGATCGAGCCCACAACCCGACATGTGCCCTGACGGGAATCAAACCGCGACCTCCTGGTTCACAGGCCGATGCTCAACCACTGAGCCACACCGGCCGGGCACACAGAAATATTTTATGTGAATACAGTTGTCAAGTGTAGAAATCTGAGAATCAGTGGCAAATGGGGAAAAGTGAGTTCAGTTTTCACAAGGCATGAAAAAAATGACCCTCTAGAAGCTGCCACTTTGCTTTTCGTCTGGGGGCTCCCCAATGCATCCCGATCCAGAACCCCACGTTCTTCGGGATCTTGCAGATGAAGCAGGATGTGGACAGGCCTTCGTGTTGGCTGCTGGTGAACAGACCATGATGGTTTCTTGGACTTGTCTTCAGAGGGCGTCTGGCTCTCACGCAAGCAGTACCTCTTGCTGCTTGTGGCTGGGCTGTCATTCCAGTGGCCTCGGGCGCCCTGAGCAGCCAGCACCACCAGCAAGAGCTGGGGCGCCTCCTTCTTGGGTGAAACACCCAGCAGACAGAACAGTGCCCGCAGCGAAGTGGTTGGAGCTCACCGCGCGGTTTTGCCAGCCACTTGGAACGGAATCAGAGCGAAAGGGCACAGAACAGGGCCTGGTTCAGTGGACCCAGGATGCCCAAAGAGGGAGAGAGCAGGCCCGGCCGGTGTGGCTCAGTGGTTGAGCGTCGACCTATGAACCAGGAGGTCAGGATTTGATTCCCCATCAGAGCACCTGCCCGCGGTGGGCTCCATCCCCAGCAGGGAGCGTGACGGAGACAACGGATCCATGTTTGTCATCATTGATGTTTCTTTCTCTCTCTCCCTCTTACTTTTTCTCTCTCTAAAATCCCATTTTTAAAAAACATATAAAAAGTAAAGGATGAGTGCTGACTTTAGTCAGATATCATTAACAAAAAAAAGGTGAGGACTCTGACTCCAAGGTTTCTCATAATGTGCGCGTTACCTTCCTGGCAGGCTTTTGAAACACCATCTCCAACAGCGGAGAGATGCGTCTCTGAACTTCAGTGGGGTGTGTTTCCTTCTTCTTCTCTGTTTTGCTGTCCCATCTTCACTTCCCTTTCTTGGTCCATAACGAAAAAACGCCGCTCCCTCGCCAAATGCTGAGTGTGCGGTCGGGAACACCTGGTGCGCTGGCCTGGGGAAGGCGAGGAGCGTTGCTATGGAAACGAAGCAGGTGAAAGGATGCAGGATCCGGGGTGAGAGGTGGCTGAGGAGGGCCTCTGGGAGGAGACGCTCAGATGAGGCCCAGACGCCGGGTGGAGGCAGGCGGCCAGGGGCGGGGCTGGGCTGGGGGGTCCTGCACAGCATGGGGTGGGGCCCGTTCCGGAAACAGAACAGGGGCCTTGAGTTGGGGTGCCCTGCTCTGTTGGTACTCGAGCAGGGGGTGCGCCTACTGCACCATCCTGTCCCCACTGTACTCTTCATGCCTTGGACTGTGTCTTTGTATTTCTGCCTACCTAACCAGCTTTTAGGACTGTCTGGAAGATGCTCAATGAATGTGTAAAGCTAGATGAATGGATGAATGAATGAATGAATGAATGGGTCAATGGATGGATGGATGGATGGATGGATGAAAGACTGGGCACATTGAAGGTGTTGGGTTCATGACATATCACAATTTATGCCATGAGCTGCGTTTTATGTTTCATTTTAATATTTTTAAAATAGATTGCCTTGCCCAGCTGGCCTGGCTCAATGGTTGAGCGTCGATGACGGAAAAACAGGTCAGCTGCCTCCTGCACTCCCCTACTGGGGATGGAGCCTGCAACCCGGGCCTGTGCCCCGACCGGGAATCGAACCGTGACCTCCTGGTTCATAGGCTGATGCTCCACCACTGAGCCACGCCGGCCGGGCCGGCCTGCGGTTTCTGAGCAGGTGGGTACAGGATATGTTGTCTCTGTTCCTCCAGAGGCCGGTCCGTTTAAGCATCCTCTCTCCCGCGTGGGACATCTCCTGGTTTGGTCCCTGGCTGCTTCCCTCTTCCTGTTCAGGTCTCGGCCACCTGTCTGGAGTGGCCCTCACACATGGAAGACCCGAGCAGCGTCGGTGGTCGGGATGGGTAGGTGGATGGAGGAGTGAAGGAGTGAACGGTCCCTGGTGCTCCGTGCGCAGCCCTGAGAGGCTGGGAGGAAAGAGAAGCACGTCGTGTTCCAGCGGGGCCCCGGCTGGTGGCCGCGTGGGGCAGGTGGCCGGCCCTCACTGAGTCCAGTTCCCCACTCTGGAGTAAGGACAGCGCGGCCATTGTTGGGCCGATGGGCCACCGCGCGGCCTTCGATCTGGGCCAGGGCGGTTCCTATCAGCCAGAGACTCTGCCTGATCCCTGCTTCTGTGTCTGTCTCCTCACACTGTGCATGTGTGCGCGCGCGCGTGCACACACACACACACACACACACACACTGCACCACATGGAAACGCGCGCACACACACACACACTGTACCACATGGAAACGCACACACACACACACACACACACTGTACCACACAGACACATAAACACACAGACACAAACACACACGGTGTATCACAAAGACACACACCGCACAGACACACACACACACGCACACACGCACGCACACACTTTTCCACCAAATGTAATTTAAATTGCTCCTAATGGCAGGGGCTGAGACGGGCGGTTAAATCCAGCATCCCCCTCTGCAGCGCCCAATCTGTGTCTATTGTGTTTTCAGCTGGCCCTGGCCCTCTCGCCCCGTTTTTGGATTTGTATAAAATAGAAATCCGAGGCATTTATTTATGTGAGATCCATTAGAATATCTCCGACCACTTGGCAGTGTATAAATTTGCAATTGTGTCAAGTGAGCATCTAGCCATTGTTCTGGGGGGTCAGGCACATGGACAACCCCACCTAAGGGTCACTGGTGAGTCAGCTGTGCTTGTAGTAACGTGTATTTTTTATTTTTATTGATTTCAGAGAGGAAGAGAGAGGGAGAGAGAGAAACAGCAATGATAAGAGAAAATCATTGATTGGCTGCCTCCTGCACGCCCCCTACTGGGGATTGAGCCCACAACCTGGACATGTGCCCTTGACCAGAATGGAACCCGGGGCCCTTCAGTCTGCAGGCCGACGCTCTGTCCACTGAGCCACACCGGCCAGGGCTGTTCCTGGCCCTGGTTGGCATGTATCCCTCAAGTTGTTTGAAGTGTCCCCTGGACCGTTACGCTCCAGGGGCAGCAGGGCCAGTTCCACGAGGAGGGATACAGTGAGCTCCAGCCTCTACCACATCCCCTCTCTGGGCCAGGCACCCTTGACGTCGTCACACACATGTTCTGATCTCTTCTCCTCAGTCACCACATGCGGAAGGTGTTGTTTCCATCCTCATTTTACAGAAGTAGACGTTAACTAACTTGCCCAGGCATTGGCAACGGAAGAATAAGAATCCTGGCCGTAGCTGCGCCAATTGGAGTGTCCTGGTGATCCAGCCCCTGGGGCAGCGCCTAGAAGGTCAGCGCCTGGGCAGTGTCTCTACATCCAGGACCTGTGTCAGTGCCTGTGGTTTCAGCACCTAGGACAGTGGCCTGTGGGGTCAGCGCCTGGGGCAGCGCCTAGAAGGTCAGCGCCTGGGCAGTGTCTGTAGATCCAGGACCTGTGTCAGTGCCTGTAGTTTCAGCACCTAGGACGGCGGCCTGTGGACTGAGCACCTGGGGCAGCGACTATAGATCCAGAACTTGTGTCAGTGCCTGTAGTGTCAGTGCGTGTAGTTTCAGCACCCAGGACAGGAGCCTGTGGCTTCAGCACCTGGGAGAGCGTGAATTCAGCACCAAGGACGGTGTCTGTGGGTTCAGCACCTGGGACAGCGCTCACGGTCCAGGATCTGGGCTTGTCTGTCGATTCAGCACCTAGGACAGCACCTGAGCTCAGCCCCTCGTTCAGTGGCTTGTAGATCCAGCAACCAAGACAGTGCATATTCAGCACCAAGGACAGAATCTAGGGATTCAAGGCCTGGGGCCCCACCTGCTTTTCTGCTCTAGACAGAAAGGAGCAGGAGGTGGGGTATGGGCGTGGATTTCCGTGGTGAGGTTGGGTTTGTAGCGACAGGCATGGAGGGTGAGGACCCTCCATTAGGTGCACGCCTCTCTCCTCCCTCTGCTCGGCTGTCCCCTATTCTTGCATTACCGCTGCTCCTTGGGCTGAGCAGCGCCCCCGCCCACCTTGCTACCTGGCCGCCAGACTGTTGTCCATTGACCTGGGGACATACCTAAGCCCTCACCGGGCAGAAAACCAACCAACAGGTAAGACCGAAGCTTGAAGATAAGGAAGCGTTTCCATTAAAATATCACTCTCATTTGAGCGTTTCTAAGACTCCAGATCTTAGCTCTTTCTTTTACTTTTTAACTTAATTTTTATTGTTGAAAGTATTACAGATGTACCCATCCCCCCCCACCTCACCCCCCTGTTTTGACTCCTCCACCCCAGCCTCCTGTGTTATTTGGAAGCAGGCCTCACGAGTTATGTAGAAGGGTGTGCCAGGTTTTCTCAGCGTTCGGGAATTTGCTGAGTATCTGCCTACCCGAACTGTGGCATGGCCAGAGAACATCGTTTGTGTGATTTGACCCTTTGGCTTTTGTGTGATATGCTTCACATCCCAGAAATAAATATTTTTTTAAGTAATACTTTATTTTTAAGTAACCTAAGTACTATATTGCCACCCATTGTCATAGAAAAGCTCAAGTGGTAAATGTTTTGTAAGTGTTCCGTGTGCACTGAAAACTTTTGGTAGTCGTCAGCTCTTGAGAGTAGAAAATTCTGTATGTCCTTTGGGTAAAGTGTGTCAATGGCAAGTTCAGGTCTTTTCTGTCCCTGCCCCTATGACGTGTGATTTTATTATTATGAAGCAATTCTCTTCATCGCCGGTGAATGCCCTCGGCCCCAGAGCCTATTCTGTCTGACAGTGATCGGCCCCCGCAGTTTTCTGCTGATTGTAATTTGCATAGTGTGTTCCTTTCCCACCGTCTTAATTAAAATATTATTGATGTGAGAGAGGAAGGGAGAAGGAGAGAGAGAAACAACAGTGATGAGAGAGAATCGTGGATCGGCTGCCTCCTGCACGGCCCACACTGGGGATGGAGCCTGCCACCTGGGCATGTGCCCTGACGGGGAATCGCACTGTGACCTCCTGGTTCATAGGTCGATGCTCAGCCACGGAGGCCACCGGCCGGGCACCTGCCTTTTAAATGTCACCTTTTCTGTATCTGTACCTTGCAGACATCTTCCACAGACAGCGTGTTAGTGAATTTCTGTCCTCGGTCTGCCAATTTATCGCTTCTAACTGGAGCATCTGGTGTCTTTACATTTAATTTAATTAGTGGCACATGTAGGTTAGATCTACCCATCTCATCTTGGGCTTGTTCCTTGCTTCACATCTGCTTTCTGCCCCTCTTGTTTATTGCCTTCTTTTCCATGCCTGTAAAAAATCAGCTTTTGGGAAATATGTCAAGAACTCAACCACTTCTCACCACCCCACGGCTGCCGTCCTCGCCCGGACCATCCCCCTCCCTGGGCAGGAGCCCGTGGCCTCCTGACTCATCGCCTCGCGCCTCTCCTGCCACCCACTCCCCACCCTCCCTCGACCATCTGCTCTCGAAGCAGCAGCCAAAGTCAGCTTCTCACCATGGAAGCTCCCTCATGCTAGGCCTCAGCTCCAAAGGCTGCCACGGCCCTGGCCAGTGTGGCTCCGTGGATAGAGCGTCGGCCTGCGGCCGGAAGGGTCCCGGGTTCCACTCCAACTCAAGGGCACATGCCCAGGTTGTGGGCTCCATCCCCAGTAGGGGGCGTGCAGGAGGCAGCCGATCCATGATTCCCTCTCATCATCATCAGGGGCATGCAGGAGGCATTCCCTCTCATCATCATCATCATCATCTCTCTCTCTCTCTCTCTCTCTCTCTCTCTCCCCCCCCTTCCTCTCTCTCTCAAATAAAATCAATAGAAACATATTTTTAAAAAAATAAGATGGGGTAGTAACCAAAAGCAAGTATTCTAGGAGAAAAGCACGGGGGTGGGGGTGGGCAGGGAGTACTTAGAAGTGAGGAATGCAAAGGAAGACCCCATGCGGTCATGGCACTAACCTGGCTGATCAGCACCACGCTTCCCCGTGCTGGTTCTCAGGGAAGCGGGAGGCACTGGGCGAGCCGCCCTTCTGAAGCCAACGGGGGGGCGGGGGGGGACGAAGGGGGGGAATAAAGTCCCCGAGTCGGGCGTGCTTGTTGGCCACGCTCCAGGAATTCAGAGTGACTCTTAGGTCAGGAGACCCGGGTGCTGACAGCCTCCCCGCGGAGGAAGTGGGAGTGAGCGGACAGGCCGCAGGGTGAGCCCGCGGGAACTGTGTCATTTGCAGGTCATGTAGCCGTGGAGGAGCCCGAGGGACTGAGCAGGGGCTGCAGAGTGACAGGAGCCCAGGTGCAGTGCTGACCTAGGAGAACATGGCGCCAGGTGAGCTCGGCAGGTGGGCACAGCCCGGTGGCGCAGGCTGCCGGCCAGCGTGGCTCCGTGGTGGAGCGTTGACCCATGAACCAGGAGGTCACCGGCGAGGGGCCTTTTTGTGCCCCGTTTTCCCCGGGAGAGGAATACACACGCCCACTGCGGACACAAACCGCGGGCCAGTCCCCACACAACTCTGCCTGCGAGACGGGAACGCCGTGCGCTGCGCGCCGCGGAGTTAATTACACGCCCTGTGTGGGTCCCTGGGAAACCCTGGTGCAGGGTGTGCAGGAGGCAGCCATTCATGATTCTCTCTCATCGTGGATGTTTCTCTCTCTCTGTCCCTCTCCCTTCCTCTCTGACATCAATACAGACATTTTTTAAAAAGAAAAGGCATTCTGACACACGCTGCCACGCAGGTGAACCCTGAAGACGTTATGCTGAGCTAACTAGGCCACTCACAAAAGGACACAGGTGACACACGTCACCTCTGTGAGGTTCCCAGTGTCACCAGCAGCAGCCCCAGAAGGCAGAACGGCGGTCGCCAGGGGCCGGGGAGGTGACGGGGAGTTTGTGTCCAATGGGTGCCGGGTTTTCGTTTGGGGAAGATTTTAAAAATTCTGGAGGT